CTGCAGTTAGCTTTCAGCATGCAAACTTATTAATTTCTACACATTTTTTCCACTCGCTTCAGTTGCGTTTCAATTCCTCGCAATACATATCAGTCGTCGAACGTCCTCCGACCATAACAAGCAATGGTGCACCACATCTTATTCAAAAAGAAACGCCAGTCACACATCCTTACATGAAAGAACGCTGAGAATTGAAGATTATAAGTGACTATCGTAAGATCATAATTGAAGATCATGATCCACAAGATTGCTTGATAATTCATTAAAATCTCAAAGAATACATGACACCACTGCAGTAGTTTCCGTCAAAAAGTGCTGTAGAATGGAGTATATAAGAAGGGAGGAGATGTAGTGGCAGGTATGACAGTTCACCTAGAGAGTAATGTTCAGCCATAAAATAACCTAATTTTAACGCATCGGCAGAAGAAGAGAAGAAGGATAAAGAGGAGCAATCCAATTATAAAAGTGTAAACATTGAACCCGTTCCTGAGCCACTGTACGATGCTCGTACTCAAGGCTCCCAAACCACTGTGGTAAGTGGCTGTCAACTAAATGCGCATGTTTTGATCATGCAACAATTTAATTATTTGCAGAATATTTGTACTCCGATAGTAAATTTCGTTTCTCTGTTAGAGCGCAATTTCTTTGACGAATTTTCAGCGTGCGAAAAGAAAACATCGTCGATTCACGTCGCTCTTCATGAATCATTTCACTCTTTTACTAAAGTATTCACTTGAATGGCATTTACGTCGAAATTAATGATTGTGACGACGATCATTTGCAGATTAGACCAGAAGACGATACAATGGAACACGTAGAATCACTAAGAGAAAGTGAAGATACGGAGGAATGAAGAAGATGGCATCGTGTATGCAATGCCATTGTTTTGAATCAGTAACTCAAATTCTTTTCAAATTTGAACCAATTCCGTGACGATGTTTTCTGATTGCATAATGCATTAACAATAACAGTTTCGATGTGAATAAAGAGTTGATTTTCGGTGTTTTTTGATCACACACTTCAGTCATGTGAGCAAACTCGGGCAACTCAACGTCTCACCGCACACTTAGAACCCGAAGGGCAATGACTTCTGAACTATTCGGAGTGAGATGTGAAAATCAGAATAATTTTGGCAGCGTAATAGCAGCTTGAATCGGCTTAAAAATATCGGATCTGATTGCAGTAATCCGTTAAGCAAATTTTTACATTCCGTTAAATCCGTTTCAAATCGCGAATCATTCATTACCATTCCTTCCATGATTGCGTGAATAGGGCAGTCGAATTGGTTCAGCGTAATATTATTTTGAGATTAAACTTGTTTATCTTCTACTGTTCACGAAGGATTATTTTGAATGATGAGTGATAATTCACAGTCATCCCGCAGTCTTTTGATCGCCATTTTTTGGAACAAATCTTTCCGATGATGAAGTCATCTATATAGTACAAGGTACAACGCGGTCGACGAAGGGAGTCGATTCGACAAACTTCGAATCTCATAAATATTTTCAGTTTTGCCTCGAAGTAGTCGTTGAAAGGATATTGGATAAATAAACCAATCGAAGGAATCAAAAACATTTCGAAAATTCTCGCTGATTGTTCGCACCTATGGAAAAAGTAATGCACTAACTAGACAAGCTTTAAGAATTTATTCCAGTGATAGGAAATACTAGACCGATGCAGCTCGTGAAGTTATATTTTAATTGAAGTCAGAGAAACGCATCAAATCCATCCGCACATGTCCAACTCAAAACAATCAACGTAATACATATAATTGTTGTGAGTTCTCTTTGATAGAACCATGACGAAGAATGACGTCGCTTTGACATTTTGCGACGATCCGAACACCGGATGTCACACTGAATCTTGAAGATACTGAATTGCGAAATAGGATGTGCACTCTTCAGAATTATTCTTTAAAGATGAAATATATTATTCACGGTGCATTTGAAACGAATGGTGTTCTGAGTTGTATTGGTTTTTTCTGTTGCAGAAGGATGTACAAATATCAGCGGATAAGGGGTTGGGCTTGGCTGCTCCCCCACTAACTTATGGCTCCAACGAGGTTTCGTCCTTCCCTGGTTCTTTTGAATCGGTTCTATCTGAAGACGATGAATCAGCGAACACCTCAGTAAGTAATGATGAAATGAACGAAGCTTCAAAACCATCCGCAAGTGATTCAATAAAGTTACCCCCAAGACCAGGCACTCGCAGAGTTGAAAACAGACCGCGAAGGTCGAACAGAGAAACGGGTAATCNAAATGAATTGTGACTGTTGATTTTTAGCCAAAATAGATGACCTTTGCGACTAATTGGAGCATATTAATATTTTCATAAAATATTTTATTGTTTCAGGTGAAATATTCATCACCGAAACAGTGAGTTTTGATTAAGATATCTGATTAATAGTAGTTTAGTTAGAAACTGGTTTCCAACTGATTTCCAGCTAACTGAACGAAAATTTTATTAATATCACTAACGAAATTCAATGTGGATGACATTATTAGTAATCTAGCTAAAGCTTCATCAGGAAAGTAATTTGGAAATTGCTGGAAAAATTGCCTCTCTAGTTGATTTCCCTGTCGAAAGATACGAACCAGTGGAGGATTGCATCCCTTACCACGATTATGGAAAAAAGTGGCAGATTTATGAAATATGAGAAGTGCAAAAATTTGCACGGGATGGGATTCGAACCCACGCATGGATTACCATACCAGAACGCTCATCCTGCTTACTCGCAGGAAGTTATGCACTTGAGTCTGGCGCCTTAGACCACTCGGCCACCCGTGCTACAATGCGTATCTTAGACGTTTTATTTACCTGCCCTTTGCAAGCAATGCTTCAATAGAACGGATATTAATGAGCGGTGGAATGAAGATGAACGTTTTGAGCACTGTGTGCATCACAATTTGCATTCATGCACATGCATTTGTGATTGTTGGATGATGAGTAGTGACAGCAATCTTTTCTGCGATTGGCAAATAAAGTGTAGTTGTTGTTTATGGCCTTGTACGAGTATCATAAGCGCTGTTCTACAGACCAGCTTTGAGTGATGCGTGTTATCCGAGAAAATGAATAAATATTATCCGGGAAAAAGATAGCATCAACCGCTTATATTTCAGAAATTCAAACGTGGATTATCACAAATTGCGATACGAGAAAGTAACAGCTCGAGAAGTTCGAGTGGGTTAATTCAATTTTCAGTGATCAGTTTCGTTTGCACTGAATATTCACTGAGATCGCTTCTGAAGAGCAAAAGCAGCACGATGAAAGTTCAGCGATGAATTATGTCTTATTTGCAGGCTCAGTAAGTTCAAGTGAAATGTTGGATTGTGGTAATCGATTGGTCTTAAAAATTGCGATGATTTGGGCAACAGTGATGATCATTTTAATCGTCGTTTTCCTTATTCCTGTTTATTTGATAGAAAAATATTGGTAATTTATAATTTGTTTATTTGTAATCGGTGAATAACCATTACGAACTTGATATTACAGGGAATGCTTGTTTTGATGTTCGCTTTGTTGCAATTGCAATAAATTTTTTAAAAACATTTTGCTTTGTTGATTCAGTCGTAACAAAAGATTATCACTCTCTCTAGCAGTCCTAAAGGTAGACTATAATCCGGCATTTGTTCACCATTCATTTATAGCGTTGGTCGTTTTCAAGTAAATGCTGCGATTATGTATTGCAATCTAGCACTCAGGCCTTGTTGGAACGGGTGAATTCGGGTTATTCAATCGACTAAAGTGAAATTGTACCAATATATCAGCGACTCAATAAATTTAAGTTCTATTCATCGAGAAATATTTCCATATGACGACCTAATTCTCGTATGATGCAATCATTTGCACCGAATGTTACACCATTTTGTACTGACCTTGTTTTGCAGATCGATTTTCGCCCATTCATAGTTATTATAATTTTGACTATTTCAACCAACACGTAATTGAGATATTCGATTGATCTAAACTGGTTATTGATATGATGTTAAAATCGTTGCTGTAATAATTTGTTACTTTTCTTGAAGCAATTTTGAACTATGGTCATCTGCAGATCTCAATAATCCATTCAGTGTCACATTCTGTCTGTATGACCCATTGCTTTCCTCCCATTTGCCGACATCAATTCGAAGGACATCATATCTCACAAATTTCTGTATTTATTTGAATTAAAATGTTCATCCACTAGCAATTGTCCATTGTTGTTGAAAAAAAATGCTTTTGGTTCGAAACAAAATAATTTGAGGTTCATTGTCCTGTCATTAGCACTGACCATAGCGATTTCCAATTTCGGGGCTTATTACCGAACACTGTTCATTTAACTAGCAATGATCACCTTCACTCAACTGTCATTTGCATGAAATTTTTGCACTCAAATTTTCAATAGAGAAGCATTTTATTTTTTACCTTCACTCTTTACTCGTATGCTGTTAGGAATAAAACGATAACATTTGCATTTTATTGTGTCACTTATTTTTTCAATCAATATTTGACTTCACTGCTACTTTTATCTTCGATTGCTGACCTCCTCAAGGTCATATTTCAAAAACTTGAAAACAATCAAAAGAAATATTCACAAGTATTAATTAGCAAGCAGCAGTTTTGAATAATTTTGCGGCATTCCGCTTTCGATATAATTCCTCTCACAAAAATTCAGTAGTAGTGCGCTCAAAACGCTAACATGGTTAAGTAAGTTTTCTAGTGAATAATATTCATCACAACCATACTGATCAAAGTATCTTAATTCACCAAGGTTATATCTGAAAAATTTCCAAGTATTTCTCCTCCCTTTATTTACTTCCCTTTCAAAATTTCCGATCTCCCCTGAGAAATATCAGCGACCATTTTTTGTTTCTTTACGAGGTTTTTTTTATTTCTCAAGATTTTAATGCGAAAGTTTCTTTGTAAACCAACTCAATGTCGTTTATGTCTCGATATATGTCAGGATTTAAATTTCTGGTGAATGAGGATAGAATTTAAATTTCAGTTTCCTGCTGGGCAGAATGTGCAGCGCTAATACTATTGATGAAAAGAGCGATAAAAATGAAGCTAATGGCAATAAAATAATGAACGATACTTCTGCAAGCCATCATGCTCCAAACCATCGCCATCACCATAAAAAAGTGGTATTTCGTGAGAAGCAGTTCACTGTTCGCGCATCACTTCTGACGTGAGTTTTGTGAGGAGATATCCACTTACTCTTGAATCGATACCACATCCACGTTATATCAGACGTTACACGTGCTCAATGAACTGTTCTTTAGTGTATTAATGGAAAAGTCGGATATGCGAGCTCTACGAAATTTCATCACATCGTGTTTCATCCTTATGTTCATCGGGACAATGCTGAACGACACGTTGACTCATAAAAAGTATCCTTTATTTTACTTTTTATAGATTTTCGACTTTATTTGGATATCTTCGACCATATGGCCAGTTCATTTTTCGGATTTTCAGTCCATTAAAATGGAAATTTAACGATTGCAATATTCTTTCCCACTATTCAGAAGATTCAAACTTAATGAACTGTTCATAAAAACTGCGTTTTATTTTCCTCAATATCCATTCACTTTTTTGCCTGCTTGAACCTATCGTAGTGTATTGCTCGAGATATAACACACTATTCTTCTTATCCAAACTCGATGCGAGACATAAGTAATCTGCTTACATATTTCACTGAGTTTCCTCAGTGTGAAGGTATTCAATATTTCAGCCCATTATATCATTTTTGGCTGGTTGTTTGGAATTTCAATCAGCTACCACAAACACTTGTCGTATGGCTTCTGATGGCTTTAAGTACATTGTTACCCTATTTCGTTTTGAGAGTTTGGAGCGATTCGCCATCGAAGCGGGTTAATTTACACTTTTCGTTGCCAGAAGCAATATGCTTCNCTTGAAAAATTGGATTGAACAGCTTACTAGCGTGATGAATAATCGCTATTTCTATTTTGGTTATTCTCGATCCGAATTGGCCACCATAGGTTGGACCAAGGCGATCAAAATGATTGCTTTAAGAAAATGATACTCATTTGAAGGTTACACTGAAAAGCGGATTACCATTCATCATTGCTTATATTGTATATCTATTTTCACTGTTTTATTTTCCACTCGTCTTCCGATTCAAACAACAACTTAATTGTGCATGCTCCTTCATTATCACATGTGAAAACGTTAGTTTATCGATTTTTCATAATTATTCGTAACTTTCTGAATGTTTGCTTTCGCTAAAGTGTTTGACGTCCAACCACAGAATATAACTTTTTCCACCTTCTTTCTCGATCGTACACAGCAATTGGAATTATCATAACCAAGCGATTGTTGATGATAAACAAGGGAAACGCTAAATATATTACGGGAAACGCTAAATATTTTACTTTTACAGCTTGCAAGCAAGGCTTGCAATTTTTCTATTGCAAATTCGGGTAAACGTTTACTTGAAACGGTATTTTAATTTGGTTTTAAGCAGCATTTCATCATGAAGAAGCAGTTGCAATTGAAGGTGGAAGAAAAGATTAAGAGAGGGAAACGTTAGAGAGATATGATTAATGAGATATGAGCACCATAACTGCACTGACAATGTTCAACTTTCAGACGCGTATAGCGATGAAGGTGCACTCATTCGTCCGCGAAAACGTGCCACGGGTGATTCGTTTGAAGGGTGCGGCCAAGGATAAGGTAAGGCGATCGAATAGCAAACTTTCATTGAAATAAATCTCTGAGCTGAAATCTCATTCAAAAAGGTGTTCGCCGACTTCTTGTGCATAGATTCGACGAAGATTACTGAAGTCATTGTATGCTGCAACAATGACTTAGTCGGCACCACCCATTCATTCAAACGGTTCCCTGATAAACTTTAGAGCATCCTCAGTAGAAACACAGGAGCCGTAGGTTTGTCTTGAGACCAAGTTTGACTCTGAAATTCAACATGGGAATGCGACATTTTAAGCGCTGTATTGAATTAGATCATTATCAGTATCGTCAAGCTACCATTTCAGCATGAAAGTGGTGAAGCATTTCCAACAATCCAACAACTCGCCTATTACTTCTTTTGCCCTGCATTTATATATAGAGACCATTATCCCAGGTTAGTTAGTTGGACTGGCGATTGTTTGTTTTGTTGATACAATTTTGCGTGAATCTAATGCAGCTTAGACATACGAGTCTAGTTGTCTTCATTCCGATTCGGTTGCACTTGAGACATTATTCTGTATCTATTTGCATCGAACTGAATCATTTATCAATACTGCAGTAACAACGAAGCGTTGTTTAACGGTCGGAATATGACCTTTGCAGTTTTTTAGAAGTGATACACGAAGTTGGAACGTTGTGCTGAAATACTTCGTTGAAGTTTTACTCACCATTCTGTGTACAAATGTCATTTTCACTCAGGTTTGTCATCCCTTCCGATCTTAGAAAACGGCTAGAATCATTCGGATTGGAAGTAGCAATCCCTATTACACAACGATAAACGCGTTCCTGAACTTTTGAGCTGGAAGAAAATATGTTTGATTTTGTGTTAGCGTTTCGTAAACCGCGCTCTTGCTTTAATCAAAAATTATGTCTTCCTCCGCGGCCTTATTCAGAAACCCGCTTGCAGTGAGAGTCTCACAAATTCAGAAGAAACAATGAGTTGATATTCGAGAATATAAAAGTGTAATTACATGTTCTCTGTGTTCGAATATTACTATCCTTCTGCAAAAATCGCTTTCTATCTTCAAAGGGCACTCCGGCATCCACTTGCCGTTATGAGTATGACATTGTGAGGACCACTGAGTTCTCCGCGAATTAAAAGGATGTTGAACGCAATTTTATACTTTACTTATGTAAAGGATAGGGAAATATTTTGCGAAATGGTATGCAAACAGTTGTTTACAGATGATCTACCCTCGTTTCAATCCCATCGACTACACAACATCAGGTGTCACTTTTTGGATTGAATCTATGTTCGCATCCGTTCTACCTGGATTACTTTGCTTAATGTTGTTATTCTATGGATTATTACATTGCTGGTTGAATATGTTCTCGGAGATGCTTTATTTTGGGGATCGAGAGTTTTATTTGGTTTGAAGATTTTATTCGTTCAAAATTTCTTTTCATAATTTCACATTTTTCATTTTTTCCCTCATAGCTCATGATTTCGAAACAAATATACATCTACCAGTTAATAAGCTTGTCAACACTTTTGAGCAAATATCATCTGATCAGTTCAGTAGAATCGATATGAACAGTTGAGAAGTTGCTTCGAATTTTGAAGTAGAACAGGTTTGTAGGATTGGTGGAATTCGAGAAATATGGCAGAATATTATCGACGTTGGAATTTGGTTGTGCACGATTGGCTTTATGCTTATGTTTACAGAGACATTGCATTGGTATGAAATTGCTCGCATCAGATATACACTGCCTTGAGAAGACAACTTCCTGAAACCAATGCATTCATTGCATCTTATGGAAATTGCCTAAATGAACAAGCTGAATTGCATTCTCGCCAGCTGATAAATCAGCATTCGGGAAGATTGTCTCGGAAACATTTCACGATGATTATATCCTTTCTGATACATCCAACCTTCACAAAATACAAAATTTCTCTCATGCGTACACTCATTTCGTATACATCTCATAATTTACTGATAACGATGCCCTTAAAACGGTTCTCCAAACTGTTTTCTGCAAATGAAGTTACTCAAAAGGTTATTTGGCAGCCACATGCGCATCGTTTATGGAACTTAGCAATTTTTTCTCGCCAAAAATTTTGAGATTATCTCTCTCCATCTTGATAGACTCCTCAACAAATCGCTCGATTTATTAATGCCAAATTTCAAAATTTGATGGAGAGATGATTCTTCCGTTGCATTTCAGCTGATCGGTGGTAAGAGAGGATTAAAGATATCACAAACTGCGGTCTTCTTCTTGTCTGCCGCATTTCACGAATATTGGTTTGGTGTAGCACTACAGTTCTTTTATCCGGTCATGAGAGGATTAAAGATATCACAAACTGCGGTCTTCTTCTTGTCTGCCGCATTTCACGAATATTGGTTTGGTGTAGCACTACAGTTCTTTTATCCGGTCATGTTCGTCTTGTATTTCATTTTTGGAGGTAATTTTTTGCGAGTTCGTTTCATTGTTTATGATCACTCCATATTCCACGTAAAATTTTGAAGATTCCATGTTTTCGATCGGCCTGCAACAGTAAACGCTGAAGTGTTGACTGGCGACATTTAGATGAGTATCTATAGAGCATATGCACTGGCGATTTAGATGCTATACAGACGCAGCATATCTTCTCGAAGTATCATTGATTGCATAACTTCAGGAATATTTTATTGGGTATCGACGTTCATCAAAAATGCAAGTGCATGGAATATAGCGATGTTCACGAATTTGTTAATTGGCACCGGAATGTTCATTTCATTTTACAGTCAAGAATGGTATGCCAGACTAAGATGCTCTCCGATATCATCGAATTTTTTCATCGATTCCGTTATACCACGACACTGGTTCTGCACCGAATATGTTGACGAATCTGTTGTGATTTAAGTTGTTTGCTTCCTCAACATGCCACCAGTTCTGCATATATTTATATTTGTACATGTTTTTTTAATGTTGACCGTGCTCATCTTATTGCATAACAATTGAAATGATATCGAACAGGTTTAGGCGTACGATTAAGCGTACGAGTTTTCCAATTTCTTATATGTTTTACTCAACCAAGCTAAAAAACATCTATCAAAAATGATGTGGTCACCTCTACAATACCCATCCTCCTTCCCAGGACTCCCAAATTCTCTCCATATGGGCCATTGAATCACTTGCAGTCAGAGAAAGCAGTGGTTTTCAGAATATT